GGCCGGGCGGGCGCACAAGCGAGAGAACCGGCCCAGCCGGAGGACCGGAGCAGGAGGCGACCCGGCGCGCCGGGGATGTGACCCTGCGGCCAGAGGAGGACCGAGGCGGTCCCCGTGAGTGAGCGCCCGCGCCCCCGCCGGCGCACGGCCCAGCCTCGCTGCCACTTTCATTTCTGCGGCTGTCCCGGCGTGGCTCCGTCCGGAGGCGACCTCCGCCCCCAGGCAGGCTGGCCGCAGCGCTCCGTCCGGGGTCCGAGGCTTCGAGCTGCGAAAGTCGGGGTTCGGGGGTGGCGGTGCTAGAGGGGGGCGTGTCTTCAGGCGCGGAAACGTCAGGCCTGCGCCTCTGGGTCCTACGACCGGTGTGTCCCGGCAGCTGGGCGAGTGGGGTTAGGGGGTCCGGGGGCGGCCTAGGGGTGGACACGGGGGACCGAGCGCCGCTGGGCAGAGTCCCGCCTTTACTTTTCTCTTGGATCTCTGCCTTCAGGGCGCCCGCGCGCGCGCACACACAGACATACACACTTCGCCCAGGCAGAGGCAGCATTCTGGTTTCAAACTGGGGCCAGCCCCCTGCCAAGATCCTGGGCCAGGCTTGGGGAGTGGCAGGTGTGGCCCTGGCAGGGGGCTAAATGTCAGAAACAGGCAGGGCCACTCTGTGGTCTTCATTTGGGAAGCCCAGATGCCCACCCAGGGAGTGAGCCATCATCACTGGGCACTTTAGGAGTAAAAGGACACCCAGAGTTAGGAAAGGGGGGCTAAGAGGCAGAAATGGCCATAGTTCCGGGAGGGGACAGAGGTTCTGTGAGGCAAGGAGACCCAATAAGGGCATGGGAGTGGAAAGGGAAGAGACAAGTGACAAGTGGCTTGTCTAGATTCTCCCCTGCCCTTCCTGAAGCTTACATTTTCCTGGGAAAAGACCCAGGTCTTGAAATATCCAGACGATGGGAGTCTAGCTCACTGGTCAGGACACTCAAGGTGCTGTGGGGGAATGGGGGAGGTCCAGCATGTTGGGGGAACAGGAATTAGGTTGGTCTGATTGGTGGGAACATGCTTCCCCTCTCCCTCCACTTCCCTCTTTTCCCCTTACCTCCACCAGAACAGTGACCAGCCAGCACAAGAAAATGGCCCTTTACTAATTGTGATGGGCTGAGCCCCACCTTATCCCAGTTCCCAGTTCTGCCTTTGGAGATCCCCTGTCAGTAACTGCTGTGTGAATGGCGGCTCCTCAGAAAGAGGGCCTCAGTTTCCCCATCTGTGCAAGAAGTGGGTTGGTCAGTTGATTTCTCAGGGCTCTTGAAACTCTAAGCTTTACTTAAAGCCTGAGCATCAACTATGTGCCAGGCCCTGCCCTAGGCAGGGGGAGGGGCGGGGGGACTGGGGGGGGGAACAACAGTGGCCAAAGAGCAGCCTTCCCCCCACCCAGGAGAAAGACATCTGGGTTCAGTAGAGGGGGCTGTGGGAGGAGATAGCATTCAACCTGACCATGTATAGTCAGACAAAGAGACTGGTGTGAGAAAACACACAGAGGCAGGAGGGTGGGGATAGGTTCAGGGATCACGCAGCAGCGCCAAGGTTGGGGGGGGATGGCAGAGGGAAGTGGGCAGGAAAGATAGGGTGAGGTGATGAATGTTGGTAACTGTCAGTAAAGGGGGCTGTGCAAAGGAGGAGAACCAGGAACCCCACCTAACTGCAGTAGGAATGATTTTGGAAGCACCTGCCCCGAGCAGAGTGTGGAATACAGGTGGCATGTGAAGTGTGGAAATTCCTCCTCTGGGATCAGGAAACCCAGGATCCACACTTCTTTGGGTAGAAGTCGAGGATCAAGGAATGGATGAGATGACTTTCCACATCTTTGAGGGATTTTTTCAAGAGGACAAGGTCCTGCTGGGAGATCTGCCCCTACTCCCCAGACGCCTGTCATTGACTTGACCATCCCCATCCTGGCCTGCTTGTTGTGGGTACAAGGAAGAATCGTTGTTCCAGACTTCTCCACTAGCCTGACTTGTTGTCTAACATGCACCTCCCTCCATCCGTCGCCTCGTTCCTTCCCCCATCCCGCCCCAGCATTATGAGAGATGTGAAAAGGTTAAGTGCTCCTGTGTCAGCTCTGAGGTTAAGGCGAGGCTTTGTTTGTGGCTGTAGTCAGCCTCAGTCTCGGGGTAGAGTCAGGACTCAGATTGACCGGGGTCAGGGCCAGGTCAGAGGTCAGCCGGGAGCCACAGCTCAGTGCTTAGCCTACGCTCAGCCTTAGCCCTCCGTCTGTGGCTAAATTCTGGTCTCAGCAGGTACCTGGGTCCACGTTTCCCGAGGACTCACACACCCCTAGGGGAGGTGAAATGACTACCACGTGAGTCCCAGACACCTGGCCTATGCCTGTGTGACCCAGGACATTGTATGGGTCACACTCGTGCTTGCTCTGGCGGTCACCAGCCATGGTGGAGCTGAAACTAGAATCCAGGACTCCTGCCCCCAAGCCTGGGGCTCTGCTGTCCCAAAGTCTGTTCTGAGTCTGGGATCCCTCCATTTGAGAGGCAAAGCAAATTTGTCTGAATTCTAGAAAGGCCCAGCTGGGTAGACCTGACTGCATTCTCCTACCTCCCGGTGCCAGGCACGTAGTAGGTACTCGCAGAACATGTATGTCAGGTGCAGGGGGAGAGGCCAGTGGCTTGTTTTGCTTTGGGGCAGGAGGAGGCTGGCTCGGCGGGGGAAGGATCTCTAGCCGCTGTCAGAGGAAGTGGCCCCCATCCGGACCCGCCACATCCCCCTCTCCTCCAGCGCCTGCAGCCACACTCAGAAGTCACCCAGCTGGCCATATGAGGGCCCTGTCCCCTTCCAGGGTAATAAAAGGAAAGTACATTTTTGGTAGAAAAGTCCCTCCTGCTCCCTGGGAATCCCCGGTGGCCGGATGGACTACGGGATATCCCAGAGGAAGCTGAAGGCGGGGCCTTGCCCCTACCCTGACCCCCAGCACAATGCAGCCAGGCTCTCCCACGCTGCACCGGCTGGCCCACGGGGCGCCCCCGAGGTCATTTCATCCAGGCTCCTGCCTCCTGGCGAGCCTGCAGGAAGCCTCCGCCACCTCTCTAATGGTCAACAAGAAGTCAGATGAGCACCTTTTTGGAGCCCAGGCCCAGAGCTCTGTGAGACGCAGTGAGAGGGGAGAGGAAACAAAATGAGCTAGGAGGGCTGAGGCCGCTTGGCCGGGGGAGCGAGGGTAGCCTGGAGACCGGGCAGGGGCCCTGGCCCTAGGGGATGCGGGGGGATTTAGACTCCAGGCGAAGGCTGCAGAGGCTGGCCAAAAGCTGAGGGTGTGAGGGAAATGATGTGTTGGGAAGTCAAAGCCTTTTGGTGAGGACCTGACCACCACGCTCCCTCCGTGCCCTTGGCCCTGGCAGGGCATCCACAGGTCCTGCCCCTGGACACCTGGCCCTCCGCCCAGCCGGCCATGGCGCTGTGCCTGAAGCAGGTGTTCGCCAAGGATAAGACATTCCGGCCTCGGAAGCGCTTCGAGCCAGGCACACAGCGCTTCGAGCTGTATAAGAAGGCGCAAGCATCGCTCAAGTCGGGCCTGGACCTGCGCAGCGTGGTGAGGCTGCCGCCGGGGGAGAACATCGACGACTGGATCGCCGTGCACGTGGTGGACTTCTTCAATCGCATCAACCTCATCTACGGCACCATGGCCGAGCGCTGCAGCGAGACCAGCTGCCCGGTCATGGCCGGCGGGCCCCGCTATGAGTACCGCTGGCAGGATGAGCGCCGGTACCGGCGGCCCGCCAAGCTCTCGGCCCCGCACTACATGGCCTTGCTCATGGACTGGATTGAGGGCCTCATCAATGACGAGGACGTCTTTCCCACTCGTGTTGGTGAGTGCCTCCCGGCAGGCGAGTCACACCCGGCCAGAGCCCGTTCTGTAGATGGGCGTTTAGTTTGACATAGCAGTTCTGTAAGGGGGTGGGGGTGGGGGGCGGCGGGCGGCGGGACATGATTTTCATCCCCGTTTTGTAGAAGAGGAAACTGAGGCCCAGAAAGTTTAAGTGTCTGCCAAGATCAGGCATCCAGAGCTAGGACTGCCTGACTCTCAGCTTGGGACTCTTCTTATCTGAAGCTTAAATGTCCCTCCAGGAGCCACCCTGGCAAGACCACTGTGATTTTTGGAACCTTCTTGAAGAGAATGCCTCTAGGTGCTCCTAGCCCGTCACCCTGCCTGGGCTGATGGACTTGCAGTCGCCTGTTACTTCTGACTCTTCCCTTCAGGAAAGGGAAGGGGGTGGGGATTGGGAGGGCCAGATTGTATCTGTACCTCAGAGGGGTCTAAGGGCAGAATTCTCCCTTGTCAGGCCCAAGCTCTGGGGCCTTTTCTTATCTCAGCTGGGCAGCCTGGTGAGGGTGGCGAGAGGAGATGAGTGAAGTCACACTGGCCCTGCTTCCCCACCCAAGGGCAGCAAGAGCGGGTGTCGGCCCAGGAGCCAAGCAAGCATGACACTGTATTCATCACAGCATCACCACCCCCACCTGGCCTGCTGTTCTCCACGTTAAGGCTATGGGAATCAGAGATGGGTGGGGCAGGGTGGGCAAGCCCAGAGGGGAGAAGTCTGAATACTGAGGGAGGCTGGGCACTGAGTCACAATTCAGGGCTCACAGCCCCTCCCCATCTGGGGGCCTGTCATTTCCTGCATTATCATGCCCAGCAGTGGGCATCTGCATTTCACATAGGAGGAACTGAAGCCAACAGAGAGGGACAGTGCACTGAATCAGGGATTCAGAACTGCACCTCAGGTCTCTTGGGGCCCAGGCCCCCAAGTCTAGATGGGCAGGACAAGTCTGAGGAACCTGGGCTGGGCCTGCAAGGGCTCACAAGGAGGCAGGCTCCACCCCACCTGAGAGCCATGAGGACCCGGATGGAGCAGGGTGGACCAGTATGGGCCCATGTCTGGGCTCTTACTCCCTTCTAGGCTTAACCCCCAGGCCTGGGATACCCCAGTGTCTGTGCCTTAACCCTGGGGATGGCTCTGCCACAGCGGGGAAGAAGGCGTAGTCGCCAAGATCTCTGCCCTCAGCGCGGGGGGACTGTGGCAAAATTACACCTTTTTTACAGGTGCCGGAGCCTCTCTCAGGCAGGGGGTGTGACGTTTGTCTCTGCAGGTCGCTGCAGGGCAGTGCCCACAGGTTTGAATCCTGCCTCCAGTCTGTACTAATTGCTAGTATCGCCTTGGGCAAGTGGGGTCGCCGTCATGCAGCTCTACTTTATCAGGTCTAGAAGGGCTACTGTACCCATATCACAGGGGGCAAAAGGTGCAGAGGACCCAGCACGGGTCCCAGCTCAAAGATGGAAGGTTCTTTGTGTTATTGAAGAGTTGAAGCAGTGAGAGGTATCTGAACTAGTTCTTGAGGATTTTGTAATTCTCAGGATGCAGGATCTGGGGCCTGCTGTGTGAATGTTATGAAGAGGAAGGAGCTGGGGTGGGGCTGGCGAAGGAGGTTGGGGTCAGATCATGAAAGGCTTTGAGCAGGCACCATGCTGCGAAGTTAGAACTTAATTCCGAAGACCTGTGTTTTTAAAAATGGACTAGAGATGTTGATAAACTCACCTTGGAATTACATCCAAGATATCACGGGGCAGTACCTGCACACACACACGTATTTCTGCGGGAATCTGGGCGTAACTTCCATCGTAGTCGAAGAAGGGTTGGTCAGTGGCCCCAGCATGGTTGCAGTCTGGCTCTGGGTGATGGGGAAATGTGGGAGATGATTCATAATTCAGCAGGGGAGAGGCACAGTGAGATCTGTGCTTTGTTTAAAAGTGGGGAAAAAGCGGGCCCTGGTCTCTCCGTCCCCTGCAAGGAAGTGGCCATCCTGGGTGAAGGCTGCCTGTGGTGGGGAGGGCAGGGTTGGGCAGCGGTTCATCCCCAGACTGCTGATCCCCCCACTTCTGCCCATCCCCGCCCGCTAGGAGTTCCCTTCCCCAAGAACTTCCAGCAGGTCTGCACCAAGATCCTGACTCGCCTCTTCCGGGTCTTCGTCCATGTCTACATCCACCACTTCGACAGCATCCTCAGCATGGGGGCTGAAGCACATGTCAACACCTGCTACAAACACTTCTACTACTTCATCCGTGAGTTCAGCCTGGTGGACCAGCGGGAGCTGGAGCCGCTGGTGAGGCCAGGCCCCTGCCGCCCTCCCCTCCCAGGGCTAACCTTGGAGTTTTCAGATCCAAAGGCTACCTACTTTCAGAAAATCCAATCCCCACGTGGATAAATTAGGGGAAGGCAATTCATTGAACAGTGGATTCTGTACTTAATAGAGAATTCATTCTAGTCTCAGTTTATAGACTCAGATCTACAGCCTAGAGTTGGGGTGGGGGGGTGCGGGAAGGGGCCAGATTCAGGCAGAAGAACAGCCAGGCCCTGTGGTTTGGGAAGGGGCTGCCTGGTAGGTTGAGCTCTGACTGACCCCTTCCTACCTTCTGTCTCTGCAGAGGGAGATGACAGAGCGGATCTGTCACTGAGCCCAAGCCTAGAGTTGTTCCTGTCAGGTGGACCATCTGAACACAGAGTGGCTGAGGAGAAGACCCTCAGGAATCTGGTGGCAGAGGAACCTAAAGTCTCTGGGACCCCTCCACACACACAAAGCCCCTGGACTTGTGATTCTTAAGAGTCTGCCCACATGCCCCCTGACTGCTTATCAGTGGAGAAGGGGAGAGCTTAAAAGTGGGTTCCTTCTGTTTGGAAGGAAAGAAGGAGCTACATCTTCACATGAAGTCTAGGGTGGAATAGGCTAGGTTTCTGCTCCAGTCCTTGACCCTTCCGTGGTGGTTCCCGTGCCCATGTGGGGAATGTGGATGTGGCTGAGTGATAGCGAGAAAGGTACAAGAGTGTAAGTAAGCTGTGTGTGAAAAAGCAGAGATGACTCTGCGTGAGTGTATGTGAGTGTGTGATTTTCACTGTGGGGTGTGTCTGTAAGAGCTAGCTGCCTTAGACACTCCCTGGCACATAGAAGACCCTCCATAAATGCTAGGTAAATGAATGAACAGAAGGAAGGAGGGAAGGAAGTAGGGATAGGGACCACCAGACCATGACCCCTGGGGGAGTGATGACAGGTCAGTGGTCTAACCATGTGTGTAAGTGCACAAAATATGACTGTAGATGTAGTTCTTTATTTGAACCTTCAGGCTACCAGCTTCCATAAGCATGAGTTCTGGGGAGCCTTAGGGACTTAAGAAGGGAGTCACCCTGAGTACCTAAACCCTTGGCCCACCACAGACACAGGTTCTGATCTGCTCAGCCAGAGATGCCCAGGAACTGTCATTTCACTCATCCCTCTGCCTCTAGGAAAGCCTGATTATAGACAGCCTCCTGAGGGCTGGGAGCGATCCCTCATGTCCACAAAGGTCCTCTGGTCCTTAAATTGGGAATCACACACTCCAATCTAGCTCCCAGAATCTATAGACTTGGCTCTCAGGATCTGAAGCCCAGTGCAAGATAATCCTCCAACCCAAGGAGCTAGTGGAACTTGAATTCAGAAACCCCGGAGACTCGTTTCCCATCCCCGGCCAGTGAAGACGTATTGCTAGTGAATGGACCCTTCCAGGCTTGGAAAGCCCCCATCCTGCAAGGACCTGCCTCCTGCCCAGCCATCCGTGAGACATTCCAGCTGGTTGGATAGCTATCCACAGAGAACCTGGCATGTTCATTCGACACTCCATTACTCTGTACCACCATGCCTAGCCCTGTGCCCAGACCCACCGGTGGGGAAGCTGAGGCAGGGACAGGGCCCTCCCTCCCAGAGCCTCTACACTGGGAGGCCAGGATGGAGAGCCAGAAAGGGCCTGAGGATCATCCAGTCTCCCAGAATCATCTACGTACGTAGGAGGAAGCTGAAGCCAGGAAGAAAGGAGAGAGAAACTGTCCAAGGCCTCACAGAGAGGCTTTTGTGGAGCTAGACTAGCAAACAGGGGTCCTGACTCCCACCCCAAGGCCTGTGGATTGCTACATAGGGAGATGAGTTGCATGTGGAAAGAGGGTTTGACAGCCCCTCTTTAGAGCATAATTGTTCCTGCTTTGAGCAAGGATTTCTAGTGAATGCCAGAGTGCCCACTGCCTCGCAGGTCTGCTGGGGCTGTATGCTGAGCCAAGCCTCCAAAATTATGCCCCTCTCCGTGGCCCAGCAGCTGCCTGATCTCTGAGAAAGCAGATGGGGCTCCTGGGGCCCCCATCTGGACCCCAGACCGCTGCCTCTGGAGAAGTTCCCGAAGGAAACACTGACCCAGCAGCTTTGCCAGAGGCTCTGGGGTGGGGTGAGGTCCCGGGGGATCAGAGATTCCCTCAGGGAGGACTGTGGATAGAAGATGGGTTCTAGGCTGTGGCCAGTGCTGACTGTGGAGGGGGTGGGGAGACTGGAAATCTATTTTTGTGAAACAGAGGGAAGAGTTTATTATTGTTATTTTTGGTAAAATAAAGGAGGCAAACTAAAGCAGCACTGGTGGGAAACTGTGGTCTGGGTGCCACATGGCTCCTGGGCAGGCTGTGGAGGGAACTGGGCCAGAATGGAGAAGGGAGGGCTTTTTGTCCTGAGATCCCAGGCCATGTGGAGGGCCGGCTGGTGTGGTCATGTCTGGCCTAGCTCTCCAGGGTGGAGACACCAAGGTTTTCCCAGGGCTCTAGGAATTCTGGACCCAGAATTTCTGGCCTAGTCCAGGAGTAGGGAGGGCTGGCCCTTGCCTTTGGGAAATTCAGTCTCTTGGGAGTCTTTCCTTGTTTCAGCTCAGGTTCCCTGGCATGGCTAGTCTCATCCCACCCCCTTAGTCTGTGTGGTTTATTGGAGCGACAGAGCAGAACTATAGTCCTAACCCTAATGACAGCAAAGGAAGCCTTTCTCAAGAAAAGGCTGTTTGTTGGGTGCTGGCTAGAGCTCAAAGTGGGGGTGGCAAGACATGGGGCTGACTTCTGAGCTTATTCCTCAGGATACATCTGAGCCCCTTAGCTCAGGTCTTGCTATGATTCCACTATCCCTTACCCACCAGCTGCCCAGACAAGAGTCAGCAAAGGGCCACCTAGAGCTCTTTCCTCTCCCTGAGAAGGAGACAGGCTGGCTTTGTGCAGTGGCTCTCCTGGGAGGTAGAGTCCTGAGGTCTAGTCCCAGCCCAGCCCCTAAGGTACAATGGTGGGCCTCTTTCCCCTCTAGACCTCGATTTCCCAGTCCATTTCATGAGCAGGTGTGGGAGCGAGGGACTGACTTATCTCTGAGCTCCCTCATTACTCACAGTCTGTGGATCACTCACAATCACAACAGTAATAGCTAATACTCACTGAGTGTCAGGCACAGTTCTACTAAATGCTTGACATGTAATAGCTTACCAAATCAGGTTTGTCTTTGGCTGGCTGCCTGGCTCCCTTCCTAGTGCCCAGTATTCCTGCTTTCACTGCTTTAATGTCTGGAAGGCCTTCCACTCTGCTGTTCCTTCTTCAGGCTCACCAGAGGAGGCCCAGCCCAGCATCCTAAAAGGTGGCCCTGCTTGCATACCTCTTATGACAGGTCACCACTACCTCCTCAATGACTGGACAGCTCAGACTCATAGTTCAGGCTCTGCGTTCATAGATGTTTTGGAATACACTGCAGCAGAGAAGGTAAATTTATCTCAGAACTGTGTGGCCTTAACATGGGAATGTCTGATTACATCAGGAAGACATCACAAAACTGCTTTGAGAAATTCAGAGAGGAAAAAAAATTCAGAGGCGGATTCTCAGAGAAGACTGAGCAGAGGTAAGGAAAAAGGATATAGAAGAGAGAGCTAGAGCTTCAGCAAGCCAGAGGAAAGCAAGCAGCATTTCCCCCACCCCATAGGGCAAAACTTGGCAGGAGAAGGTCCTGTGAGGGGCAATGTGTTGGGGGTAGAGGGACAGTTTGGTTGGGCAGTCACTGCAGAAGGGTTTGTTTTCCTGTTTGTTCAAGATCCATAAAAATATTTAGAGCAGGGAATGAGGTGGAAGCAAGGCACTCCCCCCATTTTGGGGCAGAGCATCTACCTTTGAATAAAGGCTACCCCACCACCCTTGGCCCTGGTGAACATTGTAGCTTCTTTGAGGTTTCCTGTTGCCATTCCCACTCTCCTACCCTCAGAAGCTGTATGTAGTGCATGGTGAAGGGAGCCAAAGTACAGCTGGAGGTCCACCTGATTTGGGGGAGCCCTCCTGGAGCCCTTCCTTCTCTGAATCCTCCAGAGCCCTCATCTAGTATTAACTGAACCAAGTACATAGAGACATAACAATTTTGAGAACCTGGATTGAAACATGGGCCTGAGAGACTCAGGACCAGCTGGCTATTTAGATATTCAGGGAACAGAGAGAGGAACAGGCCAGCGTGGGCACTGAAGACATGAAGTTTGAGTGGGCCTAGAAGGTGATGGGTGGGAAAGGTCAGGATATACAGGGGCCCTCGGGTTGGACTGAGGGATTCTGTAAGTGACTCAACACAGAAGCTTGGGAGAAGGCCCCCTCTCCAGCCTTCACCCAGAGTGAGAAATGCAGCAAATCCCTGAATGTTCTCTCAGGTTCCAGACCTTCTTCCATCATACAGATGCGAAGACTGAGCCCAGAAGGGGAAAAGAACAAACATTCATCAGGATGGTGGGATGGAAGTCTAAGAGGCTCTTAACTAGCAGTGCTCACCAGACTCACAACAATCTTGAGACAGACAGGGAAGGGATATTTTACTTCCATTTCACCAAGGAGGAAACACACTCAAAGTCAGGACCTGAATTAAACCCAAGTCAGCACTCCCATTCCCTCATTACACTTGCAGGCTTCGGCCGCCAGGAAGTAGGCCACCAAGCAGCGGCAGGGGGCTGGTTGAAATATTAATTTAAACGCAGCTGGTTTTCTCCAAGAAATGAACTTTTAAGTGTTTAATTTTGAACTACTGGGGGTAACGCTTTGCTTAAGGAACACTCTTAGGGTAAAATGATAGGTACACAAACGGGGCGCCTGTGTGGCTCAGTCGGTTAAGCGGCTGCCTTCGGCTCAGGTCATGATCCCAG